GCTTATAAGTACGTGTCCAAATATTACAGATGGACAATTATTTTCTGACTATGTTTTGGAGACGTATGTTGAACCTGGTTGTTAATTTCCACTTATTTTATGGGCTGAAACGCCATCACTAAATCCTAGGTATATATTTACTAATAAGTCAAAAAAAAATATTGTTTACTATATCCATACATTTCAGAACTACAAACGGGGCTGAAAGTTTCCAAAGAACGTATAACGCCCAGTTTACTAGTGCTCATCCTCCGAAATCTGTTGTTATAAGTACGCTTATGGAAACTCAGGCAGAGGCAGAAACCGTCACTAAATTATCAACCATTTCCAAAGGAAAAATCAAGCCAAAATCAAAGGAAGAACTAAAAATAATCGAATTTGTGAGTAAACAATACGATCAATATCTAAAAAATAAAACACCAGAAAACTCACTTAAGTATTTAGTCATAATTGGAAATAGGTATCAGGGTTTTAAAATTTAAATTTTTTTCGATTCTATTCGAATATTTTATATTACTTTATTACAACGATTTTTTTTTTTGAATTAGACTGAGTGTGAATATAAAGTATCTGTTATTTTTTTTAACTATTTGTACTATTTAACCTAAACACATATAATTGAATACATACATTTTAACATACAATACATATACATTTTAACCTAACAACATATACGACAAATAACAAATTTTTTTATAATTTTTTTTAATAATAATAATTATTTTAAATTTTAATAATAAGTTGGCAACGTCGCATCCAATTTCACGCGCAATCGTACGCTTTTGAATAGTCAAAAGCGTGTTCTTTGTTATTCCGGCACCGCGCGCAATCATATGCCCAAAAAGGTAAAACGCGCGCAATCGTACTCCACCGTGTAAAAATAACGTTAATTAAAACGTAATAACTTGAAACACAGGTACGTTGATCATCACGAACGTTTAAAAAAAATTCAACTGGGCAATTGTTCCATGTTAATTTTTTGATCATACACTTTTCAAGTACGCTATTTTAATTTTCAACGGAATCGGAGTGGGGCATTGGAAAATATTTTTCTTGTCAGAGGTTGGGAACCGTTGCACAGTCGGTCGCAATAATAATGTAACGTCAATATCATACGTATATACATGTGCAACGAAATAATCGAATTTATCGTACAACAGCAGGTCGCTGCGTACGATAGCATTATTTTACGTAACAGTACGATATACGATTAGAATATTTCTGGAGAGACACTACCCAGGTGCGTCTGACATTCGGCTCGATGGGCGGCTAGCCCCCGCGACGTGCCGTATGGGCTCCGGGAATGAAAATGGCACCGATCGTCCGGATGAGATATCCGCAGTCGTCGGGCTGTCAAGTCGGCGTTTTCGAAACGTGAATGGAACTCGCGTACGCTCACGCCCGTCGACATGTTCCTCGGACGATGACTAATGGATGGACGCGAACGATACGGTTAGAGGTTTCCGATGTCGATAAGAGCGCACGGCGATCGAACACGAAATCCGTAGCCGTTATGGCCGACGGTAACCGCGGTTCTGGTGTCCCGCCTTGATAACCGTAATGGTTCGCCGTCGAGTTTACGGGACCGTTCTCGTTTGTAGTGCGATTTGATGGATCTCCGATACGGCGGCGCTCGAACAACGTGCGATTCGTAAACACGTAGCTGCTCGCAACAATGACGACGCGTTCATCGAAAACGCGTTAAAGAATGACGTCTCTTTCAGACATTTCAAGCCGTCCGGCACAAGACGATCAATAGGATTTCATCGAACGTCGAACACTGGCCGCTAACGAAAAACTATTTAATTTCAATTATCGTTGCGTGGTAATTTTCAATCAATCTGTTGTATTATATACAGCTCAACTCGCTCGTTCTCCGATCGATGAATTGCGAAAACGACAAAACGTATTCGTTCTTGATTCGAATAAATCAGTTCCTCTAATACTCTACCAGATGTGTAATAGGAAGAGATTTTTCGAAAACAGAATTTTTAAATATCGAAACACGGTTTCGTTAAATACATATTTTTTCAATTTTTTGTCGCCAGGACTTATTTTAACTTGTTTAGTATGCTGATTTTAATAATTACTGATTGAGGTACACGTAGATTAATAAAAATAAATACCAAACATTATTTATTAATAAGCGTTATTAACATATACATTATGCATACATTTTTACTAACCATAATAAGCTTAAATAAATCATTGTTACTACGCTAACTTCCAGAACTAATACATGTTGCATATGAATATATATGCATATTATGTACGTAAAAAGATTAAATAAAATGAGCAACTATGTGAAACCGATTTAATCATTAAATTGTAATGATGTAGCAATTTTAAAAGCGAATTGCCGACTTTTATTAATCCATTAAATATTCTTTATAACATGTTATAGGTATGCTAATTTAATGGTTTGAGTAAATAGATAAGAAATAATTTATAAGATGCCGTTTGACTATTATAGTTTTTTTTTTTTTTTTTGGTTTTTTAAATCGTGATCCCCATGCTATATCCTTGTATAAATTACATTTATTTATTCCACACAGTAAACTTGTTCAGTGGCAGACTATAGATAAACTTCTATAACATGAAAACTTCTTTAATTTGAAAAACAAGATATTTGAAAACTGAGTTTTCGTTATATATGGTTATATTTCTTATCTGGAACGTTTAAAACGAAAAACGAATCAATACTTACAATACTAGAAATGTTGTATCATAATCAAACAAAAACCGCTTAAGACAATCAAGAGAACAATAAATATTACAGCTTATTGTATTACAGTTCACGTTTATAATTTGATGAACACGTATGGTTTTCATTTCTTAACATTGCTTACCCAATAATTTCCTAACATCACATTTCTTCTCATCCCCTTTAAATCTGAGGTCAGGTCCAAAGTCTATACATAATATATGTTTGTAATTAAAAATCGAACTGGACAATTTTACAATTATACTCCATAGCGTAGAAGCGTGGCTTCAGACATTTGAAGGAACGTGCACGGGAATGCGATTGTTGCGTAACATTATAAGCAATAACAACGACGAAAAGTAAAATAAAAAATAGAATCACATGCGTCGGTGAACCGACGATGTACAATGTTTTAACTACACTTTCAATCTTGACGTTTTAGAAGGTCCGTTAAAAATAATATTAATAATAAAGACACATCTCAGACGATAATAACAGTATAGGTGTACGGGCATGCACAACTTTATAGAACGTGTGCGGTTAATGAGCTTGCGGGCGCAGATGTGAATTTGACATTTGGACGGCAGCGACACCTCCGCTCGGTGAGTGGGCTGGCGTTGAAAATCGTATTTCGATTTATTTCGTACAGATAGCCGATCGACCGTTTCCCAAGATCTAGCCCTCAGGATACAAAACAATCAAATCGTATCCGTATCTCTCAGGTTCGGTCTTACATTATCGTTGCATTATAAAACAAACACGGAACACACGCTCGCAAAAGTTCACGGTCGCGGTGCATTGTGCGTTCTTACGGCGTACACAGTTATCCTTCACCCCGTAACCGCGTTCGAGTGACGGACTAAAACCGGGTCCCGGAGCGGTCGTGGAAAAAAAAATAAGCAAATGATTAAAGGAAAACTATCGCTATTGCGAACATATTATACGTGCAACGTATGCGGTGCGATACAGTATTGTGTACATTATAAATCAATCGTGATAAATCCAAATTTCGCGCGTCTGCTGCGTTCTTACGGTATGGAATCGTAATTATCAAACGGCGTTGCACAATGCACAATGCAGATAATATAATATACAGATATACCATCCCGCACGGGCCGTGCATTTGAATTATAACAATCAATAAATACATACGCGCGCGCGAGTACTATAAGCTGCTCGGCCATTGTGTTATTGTTGTATTATGAGTGCAACGAGATTTATAAACGATCGTGCGGTTCTCGTGCTCGCACGCTAAATTATAAATTATCGATTACGATTGATTAGAAATAACAGAGTGCAACGGTTCATGCGTTCGCCGCGATTATAATAACATTTACAGGGTAGCTCGTTATACCGTAAATAGCCACTGTCGTCATTCATAATACAATTCTACGTACGCGAAAGTATAACAACGCAATTATTGCGTTAATTGATCGATCTAATCAATATCGTACCGCTGAACATTATATAAATATTTATTATTTGTCCTAGTCGAGAGGGAGAGAGAATCGTCAGTTAAGTTGTGCACGTGAATCGTAAAATAAACACATTAACATACTGCATTTCTGCGTGAGCGTATAATATACCGTAATAATGTTCGTTGGCATGCGCAGGGGCGACGCACAGTGTTTTAAAATCGAAAAAAGCTGGCCGAAAATCAAATTTTTTAAATTTTTTTTTTTTTAATAAAAGAGTGGAAACATTTAAGATTATAAGTTGTTAAATTGTACTATGTATACAATTTTCGATAAAAAAAAAATTTATTGGAAAAAATATTATTTGAATTTAAAAAAGTACGCTGATGTAAACATTTTCGATTAGTTTTCCCTGTTTTTAAATCATTATTAAGTAAATTCTTATGTTGTGATTAACCAAAAAGTTATTAAATATTTGATAGTGCATATGCTATAGGTATAGTATAAATGCTTTTTTGCCGCAATACTTTTATATTTTATTTTCGACGTTAGATAACGGTATCGGTAATATAAATCATTAAAATAAATATAAGATGTAATTTAAAGATACTTATCCCCTGTGTTCCCCATCCATTGTCACGTTTTATAGATAGTTGCAATCTGTACTTTAATATAATGTACAACTTTGCTGCCCGTATCTGCCCCCTACTTAGTTACGACCGTATAAGTACGCTGATTTTAGTCTTAGTTTTATTGTTTATGTGCAGTAATAGTGTTCAAACCGTTGTTGTATTTACAATTTATTTTCTAATACTATTATGGCAGCTACAAAAATCATTTTAAAGAAAGATATTTATAATATCATTCATTTAAATATTGGTGCTATTTCTAATGAAGAAAAAAAGAAAATAGCACTAGATTATGTGTGTTTGCAATTACAAATCGACAAAAATAACACGTCTATAGATATTCAAGAAACAGTTAACGCTATTAAAATATGTCTACAAAGTGTTTTAACAAGTAAGATTTAATTTATTGTATACAATTTCAGCTTATATTACAATAATTAGAGTGTAATGTAGGTATATTGTATTAGATTTTTTAAGAAATGGATGCAATCAAATCGAACGAATGATCGGTTTTTTGAAAAAAATTCCGAGTAGCTCAATACTGAAATTCATTTTCCAGCCACTGCGTACAAATTTATTGCTAGTACATCTTCAGGTACAGTCTTTATATTTTTCTATTTTTCTATTTTATATTTTTTTAACATATTTTGAACGTTTGGTGACAATAATTAATTGTTTTACATTTATAATATATTATCATTTATAAATAATTTTATCGTATAAATATTATAGGTTCTACTCATAATAAAAGTCGACCACCAGTTCATTTCGAACTATGCAGTGAGAGAACTAAAAGAACAAAAACTGAACATCTCCGTTCATGTTTTAGTATATCACAGTTGATTTTTAGTGCATCAATGAATCAAAGAAAAGATGGCAATAAAGACTGTGCAAAAATTATAATGGAAATATCTAATATTACCCCCACTAGAGGTAAAAAAATACGCCATGCTTGGCAAGCACATAAACGTCAACAAGAGGCCACACAAATGACGACAGATGAAGCTCTTGGATTGATAATTTCTGCATCATTATCAGTACACCAGTACAAACTTCTTCGAAAGCAAGCATTAAAACTCAACCATGACATTTATCCTGCGTATAATAAAGTGTTAGATGCGAAAAATAATTCTTATCCTGATGAAATATCAATTACAGAAGAAATATGTGAGGCAAAATTACAAGCCCCACTTAATCATACCGTTAAGAGACTACTTGTAAATATTTCTAACGAGTTGAAGACTGGCAATTATATTTTGAAATTTCAATGGGGATTCAACGGTAGCTCTGGATTTTCAGAGTATAAACAAAGTACTTTAAGTGGTTCAAGTGATAGTAATTTATTTGTAACTTCAATGGTACCAATATATTTAGCCAATGAAGTTGATAACCATGTTATATGGCAAAACCCTGCGTGCTCTTTAACTAGATATTGTAGACCGATTCGACTGCAATATGCTAAAGAAACTATTGAATTGTCACTAAACGAGGAAAATTATTTAAGTCAGCAAATTAGCCAACTCACTCCTTATATACATGATAAAGGCGCAGTTAAGTTTTCGATGGACTTTACAATGATTGATGGTAAAATATGTAATGCAGTGACAGAGACTTCATCGATGAAATGTTATATTTGCAACTTAAATATTTCGCAAATGAATAAGTTAAAACTAATGAAAAATGTTGTAGTAAATTGAGAAAATTATAGGTAGTTATACAGCTTCAATTTAAAAGTAAATGTGTAGTATTTTATTATTTTATTATTTTACAGATTTGGATTATCTACATTGCATGCATATATAAGATGTTTTGAATGTCTGCTCCACGTGTCATATAGATTAGTCTTTAAACAGTGGAAGGTAATTATTATAACAAAATTAATTTCATAACAAATATATTAAATTATTACTATTATATTTTTGTAGGTTAATAAAAAAATGGCACTGATCAATTGTTGTCCAAACGGAAAAAACAAATTCAAAATGATTTTAAAAAGAAATTAGGTTTGTTGGTCGACTTCCCCAAGCCAGGTTTTGGGAGTAGTAATGATGGGAACACTACTAGAAAATTTTTCAAGAATTACAAAACATCAGCTGAAATTACCGGTATTGACGAAACATTAATTATTCGTTTTTGGGTCATTCTTCAGTGTTTATCAAGTGGACAACAATTAAACGTAAAGAAATTAGAAGATTATTGTTGGAGTACTGTTCAGTTATATGTACACTTATATGAATGATTTTACATGCCTCCCAGTGTACATTAAATATTAATTCATGGACCATACATAGTAGCTTCATTTGTTTTACCTATTGGCCAGTTAAGTGAAGAAGCCCAAGAATCCAGGAACAAAGATATAAAAAAAATATAGAGAACATTTTACGAGAAAATCGTCTCGAATAGAAACAAACAGAGATCTATTTAATAGGTTGTTGTTATCGTCAGATCCGAAGATAAGTGAACTTCACATAGTGAATAGAAGAAAGAAGTGCTTTCCCAATGAAGTAAAAAAAATTATTTGAAGAAGTTAACAGTTCAGATAGTAGTTCTGACGAAGATGAGAAAGAAGACACTTTGTAAATGGACAATTAAAGTATAGTTCTTCTACACAAATCAAACATTGTAATCATAATTTTTTTTTTTTAACTATTAATTTGATTATATAATATACTAAAAGTTTAGTACATTTTTCTATAAAAATATTTTTTTTTTTTTTTAATAATAAATATAAAATTATATAAAATGTGGGTTCTATTAACCCCTTCAACTCCCCAAAAAAAGAGGTGAATTTTAAAACTGATAAAAAATTTGAGTAATAGGGCGTTTAAACATCATGATCCGATACTTTTTGATTTTATAAAATTTAGGAATAATTAATTTCGGCCAGCTTTTTTCGATTTTAAAACACTGTGCGACGTGATTGCGAAGTACCTACCCCTATTCGCGGTTTTTCTTAAACTCCGAGCCCTTACGCCATTAGATATAAATAGTATCTTTTATGTCATTCGAAGTTATAAGACTCTCAGAACACTTGACGGAGATAATTTAATTATTGAGAAAACCACATGTACGAGTAGTTGTCCACGACTATGATCGATCGTACACAAATGTTCACGTTTTTTAAAACTTAAATTACATTTTAGGAGAGTCTAATGTCGTCAATTTCACGCTTAGAATCACGTACGCTTATTGTGATAATGCCGGAGGAATAATTATTAGTGAGAGATCCGACCGATAAAATGATGTCGGACAAAGAATCGGAAAATCAGAACTACCGTGTTACGCGAGCAAACAAAATCTGTTCACGTGGAGAACGCACGGATAGATGATAGATCTGTAAAAGCATTGTATACGTCACGGTGACAAAAGGTTATCATTGGCGTGCAGCAATGATTAAAATTATTTTAAAGTGTTGACGCGACTTTCGAAAGTCGGTTTATCGAGAAGCCGCAATAGCGTAAAATTAAAAACTCAAATTTTGCAATGTGTTACAATGAGCAATTACTTTTACATTATTTATCACTCTTAATATTCACGACGTAAATGTCGTCGAAAATATCAAATCATATTATATTTATTGTTTTTAGTATATTTATCATAGTTTATATTGGTGAGCGGAAAAAATAATACACGGCAAACACCACAAAACACAATCAACTCAATTGTATCGTTAGATGGAGTATCGCTCGAGGATTACTAATGCTGTCTTCTGCAAGTGTCGAAACAATGATATTGCGTATTGCAAAACAACGAACCACCGCCCAGTGATTATATAGTTGCAGTTCACACTTTGTATTATTATTATTCGAGATCGAGTTCGTTATGAGTTATCGTTAATAGCACTAAATAATCGAGCGATGAGAACTATGATCCAGTGACGGCAATGTTTTTTTTTTCTTATTTATAGATCACTAAAGTTCCACTAAATATATTGCTTTACTCCAGTACAATTATTTTTTTTAATGATATCGTTAGTGACCTATGCATTGTTATTTCATCTACGAAACAGATTTTTTCCATGACCCACACTATGGAATAAAATTCCATTATTTAAATTATAACTTCGTATTATAACTATATTAACTGTAGGGTTGCGAATGAAAAATGATTAGGTACTCGTCGATAATGTACTTTCAATTATTTTCTGTACAATTTAAGGAGTATTTATTTTGTAATTTTAAATTACATAGAAGTTAAGCACATTCTAGGAAACGCTGACGCCATCGTCAGCACCGAAATATTGGAAAAGCCGTTATTGGTGCGGCTACACATTAAAGCACCCCGAGATTATACTTCCCCCCCCCCTTAGGAAGTATAATTTTTCGTCGCTGAATCTATAGTTTAAACAAATGCAAATAACATAACATATATATGTAGAAGTCGTTTAAGTGATTTTTTTCATTTGAACTCAACTACACCTTAGCACATTTTAAACTGTACGCCACTGTGAGTCATACTTTTTAATAGGTACAGTTACGTATGTGTAGATTAGAAGTAAGTAAATAAGTTTCGGTCGATTATCGCGTGGACGGAAAACTAATAACGTGGTATCGGCGTAAGTCAGTAGTAATTATATTTCTATTGCGTTCTAGTTACATTGTAGCACGTAACATTACACGTGAAGTGCAGACTGCACGCGGACGAACGCGATCGCTTTTATGATGTCGACGATATCGTCAGCTGCGTAAAGATAATAAATTAATATATGGAATAACTATTAAGACACTTGTCCGAAGAATTTCCATCGAATCGGTACGACTGCGGCATTTTGCAGACCAATAAAAATAAATAGTGCAGCATAGCTGGCGGTTGTGAAACGATTTATAATTATTATAGTTATAACAAATGTCGCGTGACACGGACGGATTCGATTATTGTTGACCGTGTAAAAGGAAAACCCGTTAAAATCGACGAAGATTATGGTGTTTTCACTTTGGCCAAGATTCCGGCCGAGAATACCGTTGACGGCATTCTACAACGCATTACTTATGTAATTTTTTCCCATTTTCACTTACTTGTCTTAAATATATCGAACACCCATCGTTTGAACATTAATTTACTTAATGTCGATAAATATCGATTAAATCACTGATCAACTATAGATTAACTAATATTTTTGATCCAGGCGCATTACTCCTTACTACAATACTTCATATGGTTTATTTTTTATTATTATTTTTAACTTTATTATCCGATTGGAAAAAGTTCGAAGTCTTAATGTCATACTTTACTCCTAGTAATGATAATAGGTTATTATGAACATACTGACTGTTAAAATCACTTTTTGCAATGTGTATGAATTAGCGGGTATTGTGTAGTTCATTTAGGGGTTCATAGTATATATGGTATTTAAATAAATCATTATTAACTTATGTTTTTTATACATAAGAACACTTAGGTGATCTACCGGGTTTGGGAAATCGTTTTCGTTATTTTATTTCTTTTTGTACTTTTTGTACGAACATGGTTTGTTAGGACTCGTAGCCAAAAAAAAAAAAAAAAAGTACAGTCAAAAAAGGTTCAAATATCTACCGAATTGTTAACTGTACCTACCTCGAAAATAATATACGTTGTTGTATAATAATGATGTTTTTAGATTATGATCACGAATTATCACAATCAGCAGGCACTACGTAGATTCATAGTTCAAGGATTCAAACACTCTTAGGAGTGTTAAAATCTGATGCGATTAAACGTAACACGTTCTTTGGTTCGTCAAAGCTTTAAATCGTGTCGACACTAGATTTCGATGATCGATCGTGGCAACGCACATTTGAAAACCATCACGTTTTGTGGTTTTCAACTGACCGACGGTTTTCGGCACCGTCGCTATATTTTCTCAATGGCATCGTAACGTCGTCGGACGGACGGTTAATGTCGGCCGCAAAACCGCTGAAAATCGCGTATCGCGATGACCGGAGCTCGGAAAGGATATATAATGCACAACATGCGCTTGAGAGCGGGAGAGAGGTGCGCACGTACATTCGCGCGCGCACGTATTATTATTATTATTATAAATATCCGTGCCAAGGTTGGTTCAAATGCCGCGCGTTTCATTATTTCGGATCTCGAATCGCGCTGAATCACGTCGGTAAATTAGTTTTTGAACGTCTTAACGACGACGACGGCGACGGCGATGATGACTGCGACGACGACGACGACGACGACGATGATGACCGCATAAAAATGTTGGAGGAGGAGACCGTTATCGTTCGTTATATCGATCGAACGATGGGAACCGTTGCGCGTCTTCCCGCGCAAGTAGCGTTTCCCGACGCGTTCGCGTTCACCGCGGTCTAATCAGAATCGCATTACCCGAACGGAAACGGGAAGATCGCGTGGACCCGACGCCCCATAATCGTGTCGAGAAACGCGCGAAATCCGTTCGTGCTGCGGACCAGCGAGACGGTTGCACAACCGCGGTCCGTCGCCACCTCTTGGAACCTCCTTGACGTGGTTTCCCCCGTGAAATCGCCGATACACACGCGCCGCGCAACAGCACCGTCGTCGAGCGGTCGCGTAACGCACCGGAACGCGTTCCGAAACGAATATTCGAGTTTTCGACACGCGCGCGCGCGGAGGGCAAAAAAAAAAAGAAAACAATATCGTTGCAGCGGGTCGGCCGATTCAGCGATTTCCCTGCGCGTGCGTGGCAAAACGCATAACGTGCGAGAAAGGTGAAATGCGATTCGACCAACGCACGCGCGTTGTGTTCGACAGGTGAAACATTTCGGTCAGACGACCTTGTGAGGTTTTCGGGGAAACGCACAATTTCAGAGAATTTCCAATGTTACGATCCGAATGCGTTTTATTTCGTCGAAATATTTGACAACACCGTTTTTCTTCCACGTTTTCGGGTTACGATTATCGTATAAAAAAATGTTTTCCCCGATATTATTCCGATTGGAAAACCGGCAAACTAGTGTGGGGTATGTTGTGGTTTAATATTTATCTGCAATCTGGTTTCGACGACATTTTTATTACGTTCAACTCGTGCTTGAAAATCAAAATAATATCCCGGATATTACCCGTTTGCAGGCAGACAAGACTTAGGCGTAATTAAAGAAGTCTCAGGTAACATTTTTCCTAATAGTTAAGACCAGTGCTCGAATTGGGAAAAATTAAGTAGAGGAGTTCAGTCCAACGATTTGAAAACTGCGTTCTACGTGCGTAATTATTTAACACATAACCGTGGGGGGCTTCGTCCCCACCACCTCTCCGCCAACCTTACATATATAATGAATACCACATTTCAGCTAAACAAATATTTAAATTCCAAATATAATATATTTTGATAGCAATACCAACATCTTACATGTTACAATAGAAAATATAAATAAA